AAGCACAGTACATTAAAACGAGTGGAGATAAATATCCCTCCGTTGTGAGCACAGATAAAAACTGTTTTCAACCTGATTTGAGCATTGCCAGGAGAAAGAAGCTTGTCTCACATTTTCAGGAAGATGATTATGGATTATAGCAGCATGAATCTGAATAGCTGCCTCCTCATGTTTAGTCCTGACTCTGGCATCAGCAGGAGTCGGTCCCTGTGATCTCAAGAGTCCCAGCAGGAGTCGGTCCCTGTGCTCCTCAGCGTCACAGCAGGAGTCTGGTCCCTGTGCCTCCTCAGCGTCCCAGCAGGAGTCCGGTCCCTTCCCTTCTCCTTTCCTCCCCACCCCCCGCCCCCTTGTCTCCCCCGGTCCTGCCCCTCCCCCCCCCCCCCTTCTGTGCACCTCAGAGTCCAGCAGGAGTCCGGTCCCGTGCTCCTCCGAGTCCAGCAGGAGTCCGGTCCATGTGCTCCTCGCTTCCAGCAGGAGTCCGGTCCCTGTACTCCTCCGAGTCCCGCAGCGGAGTCGGTCCCTGTGCTCCTCGAGTCCCAGCAGGGTCCGTCCCTGTGCTCTCCGCGTCCCAGCAGGAGTCCGGTCCCTGTGCCTCCTTCCGAGGTCCCAGCCAGGAGTCCGGTCCCTGTGCTCCTCCGGAGTCCCAGCAGGAGTACGGTCCCTGTGCTCCTCCGTAAGTTACTTCCAGCGGAGTCCGGTCCCCCCCCCCTGTTGCTCCTCGAGTCCCAGCCAGGAGTCCTGCCCTGATGCTCCTCGGTCCCGCAGGAGTCCGGTCCCTGTGCTCCCCGAGCTCCCAGCAGGGCCGGTCCTGTGCTCCCTCCGGTCCCAGCAGGAGTCCGGTCCCTTGCTGCTCTCGGAGTCCCAGCAGGAGTCCGGTCCCTGTGCTCCTCCGAGTCCCAGCAAGAGACCGGTTCCCTGTTGCTCTCAGGAGTCCCAGCAGGAGTCCGGTCCCCCCATGTGCTCCTCCGAGTCCCAGCAGGAGTCCGGTCCCTGTGCTCTCCGAGTCCCCAGCAGGTAGGTCCGGTCCTCGTGCTCCTCCGAGTCCCAGCAGGTAGTCCGGTCTTTACCTGTGCACATCCGAGTCCCAGCAGCAGGTCCGGTCCCTGTGACTCCTCCCGAGTCCAGCAGAGTCCGGTCCCCTGTGCCTCCTCGAGTCCAGCGGAGTCCGGTCCCTGTGCTCCTCCGAGTCCCAGCAGGTGAGTCCGGTCCCTGTGCTCTCCGAGTCCCAGCAGGGTCCGGTCCCTGGCTCCTCCGAGTCCAGCACAGGCAGTCCGGTCCCTGTGCTCCTACCGAGTCCAGCAGGAGTCCGGTCCCTGTGCTCCTCCGAGTCAACAGCAGGAGTTCCGGTCCTGAGCTCTCGAGTCCAGCAGGAGTCCGTCCCTGTGCTCTCGAGTCCCAGCAGGAGTCCGGTCCCTGTGCTCCTCCGAGTCCCGCAGGAGTCCGGTCCCTGTGCTCCTCCGAGTCCCAGCAGGAGTCGGTCCCTTTAGCTCCTCGGAGTCCCAGCAGGAGTCGGTCCCTGTGCTCCTCGAGTCCCAGCAAGGAGTCCTGTCCCAGTGCTCCTCCGAGTACCAGCAGGAGTCGGTCCCCTGTGCTCCTCCGAGTCCCAGCAGGAGTCCCGGTCCCTGTGCTCCTCCGAGTCCCAGAGGAGTCCGGTCCCTGTGCTCCTCCGCGTCAGCAGGAGTCCGGTCCCTGTGCTCCTCCGAGTCCCAGCAGGAGGTCCGGTCCTGTGCTCCTCCGAGTCCCAGCAGGGAGTTCCGGTCACTGTGCTCCTCCGCGTCCCAGGCAGGAGTCCGGTCCCTGTGCTCCTCCGAGTCCAGCAGGAGTCCGGTCCCTGTGCTCCTCGAGCCCAGCAGGAGTCCGGTCCCCTGTGCTCCTCCGAGTCCCAGCAGGAGTCCGGTCACTGTGCTCCTCCGAGTCCCAGCAGGAGTCCGGTCCCTGTGCTCCTCCGGTCCCAGCGGAGTCCGGTCCCTGTGCTCCTCCGAGTCAGCAGGGCGTCCTGGTCCCTGTGCCTCCTCCGAGTCCCAGGCAGAGTCCGGTCCTGTGCTCTCCGAGTCCCCGCAGGAGTCCGGTCCTGTGCTCTCCGGTCCCAGGCAGGAGGTCCGGTCCCTGTGCTCTCGATATCCCAGCAGGAGTCCGGTCCTGTGCTCCTCCGAGTCCCATCAGGAGTCGGTCCCTGATGCTCCTCCGAGTCCCAGCAGGAGTCGGTCCCTGTGGCTCCTCCGCAGTCCCAGCAGAAGGTCCGGTCCCTGTGCTCCTCCGAGTCCCAGCAGGAGTCCGGGTCCCTGTGCTCCTCCGAGTCCCAGCAGGCGTCCCGGTCCCTGTGCTCCTTCCGAGTCCTAGCCGGAGTCCGGTCCCTGTGCTCCTCCGAGTCCCAGCAGGAGTCGGGGCCCCCCCCCCCCCCCCCCCCCCCCCCCCCCCCCCCCCACCCCCCCCCCGTGGCCCTCCCTGTCTCCTCCCGAGTCCCAGCAGGAGTCGGTCCCTGTGCTCCTCCGAGTCCCAGCAGGAGTCCGGTCCCTGTGCTCCTCGGTACAGCAGGAGTCCGGTCCCTGTGCCTCCTCGATGTCCCAGGCAGGAGTCCGGATCCCTGTGCTCCTCCGAGTCCCAGCGGAGTCCGGTCCATGTGCTCCTCCGAGTTCCCAGCAGGAGTCCGGTCCATGTGCTCCTACGAGTCCCAGCAGGAGTCCGGTCCATGTGCTCCTCAGGAAGAGAGAGAGAGACCTGAGAACTGGACTCATGTGAGGTACTTCCTGGGTTTCTTGTCAGTATCAAGCTACAAAACCATCTCTGTGATAGAAAAACCCAATAATCAAAAACCCTCTTCAGAAGCATTATGCTGGAGAATATGTGGAACGATAGGGGACTAAACACATGCTTTTGTCATAGCCTGTATGCTAACCGACTAACTCGGCGGAAAACCTGCGGCCCTTTAGTGCTCCTCGAGGTCTGGCTCCTGGAGGCCTTTTCAAACATGTCTGAAACTGGGGTGGGCAGGGCTCTAATTTATTTCTAGTTAGAATGTGGATTTTTGTCGGAGGGATTACATTCTTAAACGTTTTTCAAAGCCTGTGCAAAAGTACTATTTCAAATTTCTGTCAACGTAGTGCGTCATATCCGGTGACGCAGCCTGCGCCAGGCGGCCGTTTGTAAAAAACCGGCGTGTGGGCATGAATCCAAAAGCTAAAGAACAAGAATGAACATATCAGTCACTGAGAAGGGCTGCTTATATGTCTGCGTCATAATGAGCAAGTTTTGTTTCAACACGGAAGAGCAATGACGCGCTAAACCACCGTTAACGGTGATTACGTGAAGATTTTCATCATCTTAAAGTCAGAGCACTATTTTCAGATCTTCAAATCCTCCGCAAAGACCATGAAAGAAAGGGCCAGGGATATTAATTCAGCTCCAGCAACACTTCAGCCAGTGGATCAATATGAACAGACAGTGATGCAGGTGACTCGGAAGCCAAAAAGCAGATATATTTACTGTATTTCTACAATTGCATGAAGCAAAAAATGAAGTTAAAGTTAAGCAGAGTTGTCACATGGTGCTTCATTTTCTCTCCAGGACACGCAGTGAAAAACATACATTTGATAATCATGATGTTTATTATGATTTGTAGCCTTTACTTTGTCATTAGATATTAGGCTAATATCGCTAATACATCTTGATGCCCGTGGTACCTTCATATAAGCCTTATACAAGGCTTTTATTTTTGTTTTTTTGCGGCTCCAGACAGATGTTTGTTTTTAGTTTCTTTTTATGTCTAATATGGCTTTTTGAACCTTTTGAGTTGCCGACCCCTGCGCCTAACTCAATGAAGGCCCAATAGAGAAGTGCTCATGGGCAAGGTTTAGTTCCAACTGCTCTGACTCCTATTGACTTACACAGAAAGCAGAGGACTGAGGAACTGACTAACGTGGATGGTGTTCCTGGTTATACACTAATCATGTATTTTTCTCTTGGGTGTGGAAGTATCAGAGAATCTCTCGCCTTGTAAGGGACAAACAAACGGTTTATCTTATCTTAGAGAAAGTTTGGTTTTTTGGTGAGAGTAACACAAACGGTGCCACACTCACCAAAAAACTCAAACTTTCTCTAAGATAAGATAAACCGTTGTTTGTCCCTTACAAGGCGAGAATCTCTGATCTTCCACAACCAAAGAAAAAAACCTGATTATGTAAAAACCAGGAAGCACCTTATTATTATTATTATTATTATATAAAATAAATAAATAAAAATAAATAAAAAATCTATACACATTAAAGCGTCTTTGAGTGTCTAAAAAAGCGCTATAGAAAGAACAAAATCTTCTTATTATTCAAAACAAAGAAAGATTTCTCACCTATCATCTGTACTTCAGTTAGTAGGTTTTTACCGACGTTTTGTTTTTAATCCAAAGAACTTTCTCAAGAGAATGAAAGCTCAGCTGTGAGTTGTAGATTTATAATCTGTGGGTGTGGTTAGACCCTGATCCTGAGGCTAACTCACTAACACATGGACGGTCTGCTAAGATGAGGATGGGAGCCGGTCTAACGATCATGTAGGTCTAACAATCAATCATGTAGGTCTAACGATCATGTAGGTCTAACGATCATGTAGGTTCATCACTCGTGTGGGTCTAACGATCGCATGGGTCTAACAATCATGTATGGCTAACAATCATGTAGGTCTAACAATCATGTATGGCTAACAATCATGTAGGTCTAACAATCATGTAGGTCTAACAATCATGTATGGCTAACAATCATGTAGGTCTAACAATCATGTAGGTCTAACAATCATGTAGGTCTAACGATCATGTAGGTCTAACAATCATGTATGGCTAACAATCATGTAGGTCTAACAATCATGTAGGTCTAACAATCATGTAGGTCTAACGATCATGTAGGTTCATCACTCGTGTGGGTCTAACGATCGCATGGGTCTAACAATCATGTAGGTCTAACGATCCCATCCTCATCTTAGCAGACCGTAGATGTGTTATCGAGTTAGCCTCAGGATCAGGATCTAACCACACCCAAAGGTTATAAATCTCCAACTCACAGCTGAGTTTTCATTATTATTTGGATAAAGTTATTTGGATTAAGAACGAAACGTCGGGAAAACCTGCAACTGAAGTCCAGACGATGGAGAGTGACCTTCCTTTGTTTTGAATAATCCCTGTCCGACTGAGCGCCGAAAAGCACAAACTATTATTATCATTATTATTAAGAACAACATGTACCTTTTCTGACTGGCCAGAGGAATGCAAATGGCACTGCTCACAGACTCCCTAACAAAAAAGCAAGTATGTTTTTATTCTTCATTCATAAATCCTGGAGCATGTAGTGCACTTATCTTACCCTTCTTCACTAAGTATTCCAGACCAAGATACCGCCAGAGTCATCTCCTCTCGACCACCGTCATCTGTGCGCCATTTGGCTGTGGGACAGATTAGTTCAACATTTCCATACCTAACATATATATATGAAACTCTACATTATAGAGAGAAATGTCACCTGAAAGAAACACGGCCTTCTGTTCTCGAGCAATAACTAACAAATCGGAGCAGGGGGAAAGGGCAACGATGCAGTTCTGGAGCCACCCAGGTGCAGTCTGCTGCGGCCCGTCCTCTGCCTGAAACACAGTACTGTCTTTATACAGTAGAATTCA